CACCATTTTGTACTCCCACCAACAGTGAATAAGGGTTCCAGTTTCTCCACAACCTCGCCAGCATTTGTTGCTTGCTGTTCTGTTAAATTTTGCTATTCTGACTGGGGTGAGATGATATCTCATAGTTGTTTTCTCCCTAATATTCTTAACTGCTGCTGTTTCTGTTGTGTACTGTCGAGTCAGAACTAACCCATAGCTGACTCTCTGGCAGGTTTTTGTTTTTTCTCCCTACCCACCCCCAATTCACTCTTCTCTTTGAAAAGAAAAAATTTTTCATTGTTATGAAATCAGTACCCCCAAGTCTACTCCACTATGCAGCCTTCACTCTGGACTCCTGTCATGACAATAATACCCAATCATATATCGCTTTTAAACAGTTCTCTCCCTCGTTTGTTTTAAGGCAGTATACATCATTCCTCTCCACCTTCTCTGTCTTCCGTGAACCCCGATATCAGTCCCATTTTACAACAGTGTCCTTATGCAGTAGTAGTCCTTTTGTGACTGAGATATTTCACTCAGCATAATGTCCTCCAGGGTCATCCATTTTGCATAAGATTTCATGAGTTTCTTGTTTTTCAATGCTGCATAGTATTCCATTATGTGACTATACCACAGTTTCTTTATCCATTCATTTGTTGATGAACACTTGGATTGTTTCCAGCTCTTTGCTATTGTGAACAAAGCCACAATAAACATGGGTGTGCATATATCTGCTTGGGTGGCAGTTATGGTTTCTTTGAGGCATATTCCCAGTAGTGAAATTGCAGGGTCAAATGGTATTTCTATTTGTAACTTTTTGAGAAAGTGCCATATAGCCTTCCACAGTGGTTGCACCATTTTACATTTCCACAAACAGTGAATAAGGTTCCAGTTTCTCCACAACCTCACCAGCATTTGTTGCTTGCTATTCTGTTAAATTTTGCTATTCTGACTGGGGTGAGATGATATCTCATAGTTGTTTTTCTGGCAGATTTTCAGAGGCAGTTAATTGCATGGAAAGAATTGCCTGTCCTTCTCCCATAGAGCAGCTGGTGGCCTCGTACCCTGTGCCTTTAGGATTGCAGCTCAGCTTCTTGTTACCAGGGCATCAGGTTTCCTCGTTCCCTCCCTCCCTCCTAAGAGTGACAGGAGCAGACAGTTAATCAGCACCTTCATTGACCTGGGAGGTTAGGGTAAGAATGATCCTCAAGGCCAAGTAGTTACATCCAACCAACTACAGAGCTGGGGTTACAGTCTCTCAGGATCTGGGCCTCTTTAAACAGTAGCCATTGGGAACATTCCAAGAAGAAAGTAATCTTGGAGGCTAACGACCATGAAAATTCTGATTCAATTTCAACGAAATGTTATGATTTAGAAATGATGCCAAAAAAGATAATGAGGATGAAGAAATGCTCTGGAAACTGTAAAGTGCTATCCAAAGGTTAGCCATCTGTGCTTCACTGCCAAAATCAACAAACCTCGGCCTAGATGGAGAACCAGCTTCCAAAACTGAAGGAGCGAAGGAAAGGCTGGTCATTCAAGGGGCCTCTTCTGAGTGGGACACCAGCTTATTTGCTGGGATCAATAGGTCACAGAACTTCGCCCTTGTGCCGTGCCCACACCCATTTGGGGTTCAACACAGTGAAAGCTGACTGGAACTAATGCTTACATTATGTATTTGTGTTAAAACATTATTTTCTAGCTTGCTTTCTCCTTGCAGTTGTGTTTCTGAGGCCAAACACTGTGCTCTCGCCACCTGCACCACTGGGCAATGGGGTCTCTCTCCAAGGCTTCCAAGCGTCTGGGCCCATTAGTGTTTTGCTTCCACATTTGTTTACATTCATCCCAGCTGCATTAGAATTTAAGATTCTGCACATACTCTGGCTCTCAAAACCACATTCTTTTGCCTTCACACTGCCTCTTTGTCACCGAACAACTGAATAAGCATTGTTTCCCCCTCTTGGCTCATGAAAGGAGATCCTGATGAAGAGTAAACTTCACATTTTCTGGGCTGCCTTATCCAAGCACCCAACACTAGAAGGGCGGCAGTGTGTTTGGTGACCTCCGCACATTAGGTTAATGATCTGGGTCTGGGCCCAGGCTGGACGAGCCCGTTAAGAATGGGGCGACCACTGCAGAACCTTATCACAGAGAGGCTGAGAGGCAGAGCGCCTTTGTCCTGCGTCCCGGCTCCTTTCCCTAGGGGTTTTCCTTAAACCATCCAAGCTAATGGGTATAGGTGGCAAGCATTCATTCTTCATAAGCTCCGATTCAGGCGGCTGTGCACGGATTCAGTCTCGGATGTTTCTACACTTAAAGGCTTGTAAAACAGTGAAAGAAAGATAGGAGATAAACTTACAGAAAGCCTTCTGTTCTCTGCTAAAAAGAAGGCACTACTTATTTCTCTACTGTAATAGAAGTTTTGAAAAGCCCAATCTAAAGGTGTAGAGAAGGAAAAGAATACTGATACGAATAAAGCAGCACACAGCCCTGCCAGCTGTACTGTCATCCACACGTATCCCAAGTGAGAAACATCCATGAGAGAGACGAATGGGGGGGTGTGTGTGTGAATCTTTTATTGGTCTGTGGCTAGAAAAACCAAATGGGTAAAACCTTCTGAAGGCTGTTTCTTTGCTTTCTGAGGGACCATCCCTTAGTACCATTTTTACTCTTTAGAGGAAAAGTAAGTTCTAACTGGTTTGCAAAGTTTAACATTAAGGGGCTCATCTGGCATGATCTTATGACTTTAAACACGAGTTAAACCATCTTTGCAGCATCCAACATGGCGTTATGTTCCCTGAAAGACTAGTAACTTAAGTCAACAAGTAGGTGGGCTCAAGGGGGTAAGAGGGGTCAGCCAGAGGATCTCTTTACCGCCTAACTCCTTCGGATCAAATTTTCAACCCGAGTTCACGAGGTGAAACCAAATAGCAGCCGTACACTGTCATTTCCAGGTAATAATTCCTTCAGTTGCCCTCATCCTGGTGCCATCCTCATCATCTCTGACACACTTGAGTGTCATTGCTGTAGTATCTGTGTCAAGTCCTTTCATTGGGGGTAGTTGGCAGGTGTCTTCTCTTTTGCTGACCCTCCACCATTCCAAGTATGATGTCTCTTTCCAAGGAATAATCTCTCTCAGCAACATATCCAAAGTATGAGAGACAAAGCTTTGTCATCTTTGCTTCCAAGGTGTGCTCTGGCCGCACGTTTCCTAAGACCTATCTGTTTGCTCTCTTTTCAACATGTTTCATGGGCTACTCAGTAGTCTTCTCCAGCACTGCAACTCAAAAGGCGAGGTTGGTACAGGATAGAACAGGGTTCAGTCTGCTCAGAGGGCTGCTATGAGCTTTATTCAACTTGACGGCACCCAAGAATAACAACAATCACCCTCGTCCTTAAATAGTAACTCATCCCTCATCTGTACATATTAAAGAGAAGGCCAGCCAGCCAGAAACAAGAAGTTAGGTGGCTTTGAAATGAACGCACCGAGGGAAAGAACGAGGCTGGTTCCAGGCATTTGGTAATCGGAAAGCAAATTTCTTTATTGTACACAGTACAGAATATAACGCAGCTTGGCAGGATGCACACAGCCCTGCGCAGGGGAAAGGATTTCAAATCAACTGGCAGGTTAAAAGCCTTTCTGCACTGTAGACTTTCCACACTCTGGAAAAAGGGGGGGGGGGAATCCCACCCCAAAACAAAGAAAACTATCCAGAAGTGCATGAGTCTGATGGGAATGCAACGGAGAAGCCGCTGTCCTGTCCTGTGATAGCGCAGGCCACGCGGCACAGCTGGGGAGGCGAGCTCAGGCGACCAAGGATCATGTTCATACTTGTGAGTACAATTAAATCCACCCCCAAAAATTCCCAAACCAGGATAAGTAAAGAAAGGAAAAAGAAATCCTATACACATTTACAACAAATAAAAATCTCTAGCCAGCCGGGGGGTAAAATATGCATACATGTATAGACTACGTGTCGGTTAGAAAGCTATAAATATGGTCTGGAAAGAGTCCTTTGATTAAAGTACAAAGCTAATTAAGGCCCCAGAGATAGGGTCAGTATCTTAGGGGGCTAATTAGCTTTCAACAGAGGAAAGCCTTAGGTTCTTAGGTAAAACACACCCCTTTGCCCTGTGGGCCACTTGACAAATGTGCTGTTGGTCATAAGGGGCCCTTGGGAGACCCCTGAGAGCTCCATTTATAGATAAACCCCTCCGAGCATGCGCCTCCCACTCCCGAGCTGGCACTGTCACCTTCACATAGGAAGAACAGCATGGTCGTCTGACTCGCTCTGCAGCGGGGAGCAGCACTGCTGAACCCAAGCGGCAGCAAGGGACGACTGCTGCCTAAGACCTTTTCTTCTGCTTTGAGCTCAACTTGCTTTTCACTTTAGCTTGGTTGTTTAAAACCTGTATAGTTGGGTGTGTTTCCCCCTCCCTTTTCCCAGTATAATACACCAACCAGAATAAACTGTTTCAAAGAAAAAAGGTAGCAGGAAGTGAAAAATGCTAGCACACAGCTTCACCCGTCAGCATCAGGAGGAGTCTCAAACCCTATTATATGCAGGGTTGAAAGTCCAAATGGAAAGGAAAAAAGAAAACAAAGCAAACGGATGAAATGGAAATTGTCGTCAGTCATGCCCAGGACTTGGTGCCCACCTGGCGGCCAGGCTTCAGATGGACATGACATGTATTATATACATTATGCTTTCCAGAGAGGGCATGGTTGTGAACACAGGGAAATATACACAGAGAATTGAAGCTGGGTGTCCAGAATGCCCTGCACACTTCAAAAATGTACAACTCAGGTGCAAACGTTCCATCAGGTGGTCTGGTGCAGAAAGCACTAAGCAGGCAACAAGGGGGCTTTTACATGGCTCCAGGGAAGGCCCCCCAGCAAAGCCCCTTTCAAGCTGCAGCGTCTTCATAAGTCAGCACGGCCCTGTCTAAAGGACACGGTGCACAGTTACCAAAAGGGGTTTTTGTTGTGTGGTGTTTTTTTTGTTGTTTGTTTTTGTCAGTTTTTTTGCTTTAAATACCAAAACTACAAAAATCAGTTTATAAACTTCCCCCCCAAAACAACCACCAAAACAAAACATCCCCAAATCAAAGCAAAACAAAATACTGTCAAAAGTGTTAACCACCCTTCTCCTAAAATTAAAGCCATCCGCGCGCAGCCGTGAGCCTGGAAAGAGAAAGGGGCTCGCTCGACTTGGTGACCACAGTGCCGGGAGGTTCCCAGGAGTCAAGCCGGTTTGTTATTTGAGAACCACGGAGTGGCTACCAGCCGCTCTGCCCTTCCCTCTTCTTTCTATAGGCAGGGGGAAAGGTTTCAGATTGAGCTCAGGGATTTCAAGATGCCTCATAAAACCCTTTGCCGTTTGAGCTTCCCCAGCTTAGCCAAGCTCCTCTCCTATGAGTTTGTGGGGTTTTTTTCCAATACATTGTGCAAATCAGAGCCCTTCGGGGGTAAAGGCATTTAGTAGTCCATGATCAATGAAGATTGTCACACTCTCTCCCAGTCCGCGGGTACTAACCTGAACAAGGTATTGCTTTGCATATATTGTCCATGGCAAGGAGGCTCCACTTCGATCTCTTCCCAGAAACCTCATCAGAATTAGAGTAGAGGCATGGTTTCCTGACCTCGCTGTCTCCACCCCCTAGCCAAGGTTATCTGTCTGTAAAGGTGCCAATGAAATGGCTTGGGCTCTTCAGATAATACTCAAAGGGCAAGCTTTAGGAACAGCCAAAAACACAAACAAAACCACTGCCCTCATTCGCCTGAATGGGAACTGCTAGCTCTAGGGTTCCGCCGCTCAGCCTCTCAGAAACCTAGTAGGCGAAGCCTTCGGCGTAGGGGAGGCTGCCGCAGCGATCCATGTCCAAGAGGTAAGCGGGGTTGTCTTCAAAGTGGGTCAGTGGCAGGGTGTCCTCCTCGTTGAGGTGGCACTCGGACTCTGCCTTCAGGAACGGACGCTGGTTGTCAGGAAAGGCCATGGAGAAAAGGGCATCTGGGTCGCAAACAAATTTGTAGACGTATCGTTCGCCTGCCACCTGAGGGAGGAAACACAGCTTCTTCAAGGCTCAGTTTGCACACGTGGGGCAGGGGGACAAGAGGGAGAGAGTCATATGTCACCAAGCTCTAAGGGGACCAAGGAACAAAGGGAGCCTGGTAGCGAGCTGACCAGACACATCCTTTGCATTTATTCTGATAAATCTTGGGGGCTGTTTATGTTGCCAAGTGTTTGCTGCATTTTTAGTTGTTGTTGTTTTTTGTTTTTTTTTAACACCCAGCTCAGCAGTTGAAAGACATGTTCAAAATGCAAATCCACACAAAATAATTACTTATTTATTTTAAAAATTAAAACCTTCACTTTCCCTCAGGGAACAGTTATGCTGAGGCTGTGGCTTGGTGTTACAAGAAGCAACAAGGGTTGAGAGGTATAATGTACTATTCCGACCACATTTTCAGTTCCCTCCAAAATGTACAATCTCACTGTATGGCTGTTATTGAGATGGGTTAGGAACTTGACCAAAGAACCTATGTGGGAATTTTAAAGCTGGACAATACTGCTTTGGGGCTTACGAGCAGTTTTAAGTGACTCAAGCCATGGTTCCTCAACACGGAAGGCAGAGAAATTGCCTTTACATGGCTTTTAGCATCAGCTTATTAAAACTAAAGAGGTTTTGATTATTCAAGGGCCTGATGATGGAGCTGATGAACTATCTAGGTCAATGGGATCACCCACTCTTTGCTGGTTGTTTAGCAACAGTACAAGAGGGCACGCACCCTGAAAAGCAAGCATGATGATGAGCTTTGCTTCAGTAATGCAGCGAGGGGCAAGGGAAAGCGGCTACAACTACTGACAAAAGAAACCTTTTAGAGTCAAAACTGCAAACTGCTGCGTTTAACCCTGCTCTTCTGACAGGGAAAACCAAAGACACATGATACTTAATCATTGTGTTGAGACTATACAATCTTTTTAATGCAAGAAATGAGGCTTCGATTCCAAAGAAGAGCTTTAAGAAGTCTTTTGCTACAGTGACTATACAAGGAACAGTGTTTTCGTCTCGGTGGGTCTTAATGCTTATTTTGTGGTGATACTTCTACGATGTCCAGTCACTAGAACATAGCTTTTCCTAAATTTAAACATGGAGTAATGGGGACAATTAACGCACAAAACTTCTTTTCCCACCAGTGTCTTAAGAAAGAAGGCCGCATCCAGACTATTAATCATTCTTATTTGACATATATATATATTATGTTGTTGTTTAATGCCGTCGAGTCGTAGACGACTCATAGCGACCCTATGAATGAATAGCCTGAGCACTGTTCGTACATAAAGTTTCCAGAGGCAAGCCATTTTGGAAGTGGATGCCGCTCCTGCTTCCAGGCATATAATATTATAAAATAAAAAATAAGTTTTGCCTTAGGGATCTCTAATTTTCAGCTCCTAAAAGTCAGTGAGTATATGTGGAAGGGTTAGGCAGGAAGACCAGAATGGAATTTGGCTCTTTCTAGTTTTGAAGGAGTAAAACAGCGTGATAAGTGGACTGTGCTATAAAGCAAGTAGGGCTGGCTTAAGAGGCCACTGGGAATGTTCTAGCTCTCCAAAGAGGATAGGCGTTCATGAGGGTCATTCACCAGCATTTACTCTTCAGTAGAACAAATGCTACATTAAATGCAATTAAGACTGAAGACAGCCTTAGACCTTGTATGCAGCTCTGAAAAACCTGGAAAGTTTTCCTCATGGAAAGCTGTTCAATATTTTAAGGTGGGGAGGGGAATATGGGGTGACAGTATTGTGCGCCTGTGAGAAAGACAGATCTGGTTTCCATGAAGACACTCTTGACGCTGCTCATCAATGCTGCTGCCCAGTGCGCCTTGTTACTTACTAGTGCACAGACAGCTGAGACATACACAGGTACCTCCTACTTCTCCAAAGGTCACTTTATGCCATTTCGTTTTAACAAAAGAACTATATTAGCAGCTGCTTTTGCCAAGTGAAAGAGCTTCCGAAAGGATTTACATCTTGTGGGGGGATAAAAGATGATGAAAAATGAGAACAGTGCAGAGAGCCATTTATGAGGCAGCGTACACCCAGAGCAGTGATGCCATCGCCACATCCTCGGCATCAAGCTTTGGAGCTGCGTTTGTGAACAGTAGACGTTAATATTATGTGCTTTTTTGGTAGAATTAGTTTGGGTATGGTCTGAGAACACCAAAAACTTTTTCTCATATGATTAAAATGATAATTCTTCCTAAAAAATACACTCCATCTTCTCCCAAGGCCATCCTGCAACCAGTTGGCTCTGCTGTCGATTTGCAAACTTCAGGTGTTTACCTTGAGCTCCAGTTTCTGTAGGTTTTGAAAATAAGATTTTCCTATTCCTTTAATACTTTGAAGAGCATCCACCCAACAGACTCAGGTGTGCAGGTGTTTTAACAATGAAAGATTTCAACTAGGCCCAGCGGGAGCAGCCTTTCAAGTGGATTCTCTCCTGAGCTCCCTTGCGGCTCTCTCTAATGGATGGCCTACTTTCTTGGACATCTTTGTAATCAGAGACAATGGAAGTAAAGTAGAGGAGCCTAATTTTCCTACTGTGTGTTCCACACGCTACCTCTGGCTTCCAGGTACCCAGGAGTAGGAAAGGCCTCCTAGAATCTCATCTGGTTCTTAGGTTTCTTTTCCTTTTTCTTTATTGCTGAACCACATTTGAGGTTAACATTTTCTCCTGGGCATTTTAAATAGTCTTATGACAACAGATTCCCTTAATGTTTTCTTTGGGGATAGTCTAAATGCCTCTTGTAATCACCTTACCTTCTGCATGATGCCCTTTTCATAGTAGTAGCGTAGAGAACGGCTGAGCTTGTCGTAGTTCATGGCTGGCCGGTTCTTCTGGATGCCCCAACGCCGAGCAACCTGGAGTGACGGGAAAGCAGAGAACAATGGGGACATGTTCCCTGAACCAAGCAGTTTTCTCTGAGTCCCAAGAGTCAGCTTTGTATCTTGACTGACTCTAGTCAATGACACATTTCCCTGACCTGGAAGGGAAAGGGTTTAATTCTCTCAAGACCAAACATTCAACAAAGGTGATGATTTAGTCACAATCGCGAGGAGGTGAGACTTAGAGGTGGAAGAATCCTAGCACTTTAAGATTGCAGAAGGCTTGGCTCCCATCCCAGAGGAAGCAGGCTCCCCACTGTTGTCCATGTATGAATTATTGACCAATACCCATCGCCCATTAGCATGTTTGCCATTAAGTGCTATGGTTTCTGTAGCAGTCAATAAGGAATAATTAGAATGGTCATTCCTGAAATATTAGAAACACACTAGTGAGTTGCTAATGGGCCGGCAGAGCAAAAGTTCAATTCTAATAAGATTGGAGAGGGGCTGGGAGATGTTTACTTATTGCAGCTCGTGGAGTAAAGAGGAATAAGATCATTTCAGCCTGCTGCTATCCAATCCCCGGCTCCCAGCAGATTTGCCGAATGGACACTAACGCATGGAGCGCCATTATCCATTTAATGAAAAATTAACAGGACTTCCCAAACAGTTCTGAAGTGCATTACTTCCAACGCAGTCCACCTGAGGTGCAGTGATGGGGATATGTAATTGGAGCTTGGGGCTGAGAAATCTTGTAGCCGGAAAATGTCCTAGTAGAATTAGCTGATTACTAGAGCAGCCAGGCAATTTCTGTTTTCAAATAACTCAGCAACTAAAATCCTACATATAAAAGCAACTATCTTGACACGGCAGAGCTCTGGGGGCATGGTGGTTAAGAGCCTGGCTACTAAAAGGAGGGTCGATGGTTCAAACCACCAGCCACTCCACAGGAAAAAGATGTGGCAGCCTGCTTCCGAAATGATTCACAGCCTTAGAAGCCCTAGGGGGCCATTCTGTTCTGTCCTACAAGGTTGCTGAGTTTAAATTGACTCAATGACAATAGGGACCACAACATCAAGAGAACAAAAACCTTCACAATTGAATTAATAAGCTGTATCACTATAAAGGGAGAAAAGACTGAAGTAGTCAAGTACTTCATTTTACTTGGTTCTATAATGTCCCTGGGAATAGCAGTCAAGAAATCAAATAACCTACTGCATTGGACAAGTCTGAGACAAAAAGTTCTCTAAAGTGTTAAAAAGCAAACCTTCAGGGCAAAGGTATGCTTGCCCCAAGGCCTGGCATTTTCAATCACTCTATATGCATGTATGTGAAAGGTGGACAATGGCTGCAAAAAACCTGATGCAGTTGTATTATACCGTTGGTTAAGAGTTACTTCATAAAACCATTGACTTCCAGAAAAACAATCAACTGTTTGGAAGAAGTACAGCCAGAGTGCTCCTGAGGAGGGTGGTGAGATAGCGTCTCACATATTCTGTACCTGTAATCAGTCCCTGGAGAGGAACATTACAGCTGATAAAGAAAGGCCCTGTGGAAAAAGAGGAAGATCACAATCAAACGAGGTGACACAGCTGCTGCAACAAGGGCTTGGATGCAGCAGTCATGGTGAGGACAGGGCAAGACTTTGTTCTCTTGTGTGGCGGGTGCTGCACTGCAACGAACTCAACAATGGTATCAAGGAAGGAGAGCAACTCTGGAAATAGAGATTCTTGGAGGTCTTTGAATGTATGCAAATCAGGGACTATAATTTGAATGTTGTAGGTTCACATGAAAATGACTTTTTTCCCATTTCCTTAAAAACAAAAAAACAAAAAAAAAAAAAACAAACCCAAAACGAAAAACCTAAGACACTATAGCCATGTAACACACAATGCCCGTTCAGGTAATGTCTGACTCTACGCAAGTCTGTGATGCTTTACGGTTATAATAGTTTCAGAAATCTCTACAGGAGAATGGCAAGCAGGGAATGTCACAGCTGCTTCCTGTGAGCAACACGTGTATCTCACACCTCTTGTATACAAAGCTGCCAGGCGTATAATGGTACAGTACACATATAACCTATAATACGTTTGTCTTGATAATAATAATAAATGTCTGTGTTAAAGCCTGAGGCCTGCACTGCACTTACTGTACTTTCTGTCTAAAAGGTCTACTGTACAGCAGTGTACTCTTCAACTTGTTGGCAGCAGCAGTATCCAATCTCACATATTATGTTCAATATTGTAATCAAGTGTTGTTGCATCCTCTTTCTGCCTGAATTTTCTTATAAAAAGATGATGGTGAAATGCATTATGGCTCCCAAATGCAGCAAACACTGCTAGTGCTAGCAACAGCAAGAGGCAAAGAAGCAGGGCCAATGTGGAAGTGAAAGGAAAGCCTCGTAAACCACACAAAAGTAGAAAACTGGTGCATGTGTGGGGGGACAGTGAGACTGGCTCAGGATAGAGCAGGGCTCAGAACTGTTGTACATAGAGTCAGAGGTGACTCAATGGCAAATTAACAACAACAATAACTGCTTGTGATTTAGGCACGTCATATGCAACCATCATAAGTGTCCTCAAAAATGGAAGCAAAAAAAAAGGTATGCATTACAAAGTTAATTGGGGGACTCTAGGATATTATGCTGAATTAGAAAGGAAAATTACATGGACCTCTCCAGGGTACTGAAGAGCAATGGTGTCTCTCTGGAGACTAAGGTGTGTCTGATACAGGCCATGGTCTTTGCAATCACTTGTTATGCATCAGAGAGTTGGACAATGACTAGGGAGGCTAGAAGGAGAATTGATGTCTTTGAGCTGTGCTGCTGGAGAAGAGTATTGAATGTACCGTGGACTGCCAAGAAAACAAACAGATTCATCCTGGAGAGGGTTAGACCAGGCTGCTCCTTGGAGGCAAGGATTCCGGGGCTTCGTCTGACATACTTTGGACATGTTTTAAGGAGGGACAGGTCCTTGGAGAAGGACATCATGCTTGGGAGGGTGGAGGGACAGCACAGGAGGGGAAGGTCCTCTATGAGGTGGATTGATTCAGTGACTGGGGTAATCGGAATGGGAGTGTCAGAGGCAGTGCGATTGGCACAGGATAGAGCAGAGTTTAGGGCTGTTGTACATAGGGTTGCTATGAGTCACAGGCGACTCAACGGCACATAACAACAACAAGTTACATACTATATCTGTCCATTTATATGGCATTATGTTGTTGCTGTTATTAGGTGCTGGTTGAAGTAAGATTCATAGTGACCCTATAAACAGTGATGTTGTGCCATCCTCATCATCCCAGACACACTCAAACCCAGTACTGCAGCCACTTTGCCAATCCACTTTGGTAAGGGCCCTGCTGTTTCTTTTAACTATGTGTGAATTTACAATTAACTCAAAATAACAAGTCAATTTTTAAAAAAAAAAAAGTTAATTGGGTGAGGAGTGTGGAAAATGTCTATCAATGAATGAAAACTCAACCCTTCTGTCAACTTTCACTAAAATCACAATAATAAAAAAATTTAAAAATGGAAGAAAAATTCTCCAAGTTGTTAAAGACTCAGCTCCACTGAAAGCTAGAAGGTTAGAAAGTGTGAAAGGGACTTCTATGAGATATGGAGACATCACTAATGATGTGGGTTGAGGACTCCAAACCTCGAATTCAAAAATGAATCCCTCTTGGCCTATTAATAATCACTGCTAAGGCATAAAGTTTATCTGAGATGCTTAAAGAAAAAGTCAGGACCAGACTCCAGTATAGTTTCCACACAATATCCAAAACACTTCCCATTTCACAAAAATTCACATGGACAGAATGTATCATGGACATTCAGCACGGCGTGACCATATGCTCTTTTGACCCTTTAAAAACTAAATGTTCAGAATGAAGTGGGAGTAGGGAGATTGCCGGAGGAAAATGGATTGTGAGTTAGCCTTTCACCTAAAGTTTTGGACAGGAGGAAAGGAACATCCTCTGAATTCCAACATGACCTTTAGTAAACACCAGAAGGATGTGCAGAGAGAAAAATGCAACAATGAATGAATGGAAATCCAAAATATCTGTAAATGTTCATTAAAATTAATAAAATAAAATAAAAAAGCACCAGGAAAGGTAAATGAGAAAGAAAGCATTGGTCCTGATTATTTTAGAATAATTCAATAACCATGATTCATCTCAGTCTTGAAAAAAAAAACCTCTCTGAAAGTTGAATTTCTATTTGTGTGCCACATGCACCATGGACACAGAATCACCCTTCTCCATACTGCACTCATTCAGCTATCTTCAAATAAGGTGAAAGGATAAACTTTTATCCACTCCTTCCTCCAAAATTGTCCAAAATCCTGGTACTGACCAAACACAGTGGTAAGGTGAGAAACTTAGTAAAACAATCAATACCTGCCCTTCCATGCTGTTTGGAAGAGATTATATTCCATGAAACTATACTTTAGTTGCTGTCAACCGTAACTGATGGATGTAAGGAACTTTAAAAGAATCCAGACTCTCATTCTACTACGTTCAGTGGTGAAAAACAACTCTTGAATATTCTTAACTTCATCATGACCCCTTTCTGCTGTCACGTGCACACAGAGCAGCTGACTGGAGCGGGGTTTTGTATATGCACAGATTTCACAGCAGCTCTCGTAGCCATAGTTACTGACTCATCCTCCCGGGCCAGAGTCCTCTGATTTCGTAGCCCTCTCTAGGGCTGTGCCTTCTATAGCATCGCGTGAGCCAGCAGGGCTCTGGAGCAGCTGGAAATTAGGGCTGTCCCTTTTGGGGGGGCGGGTGGGAGGCAAGCAATAGCTTGTTACTGCTCTTTCATCTTTCTCATTAGTTACTTTAATAGCACACATCTGAGGACGAAGGCTGAGGGAGTTAAACCTCACCCGTATCTCTTCCTCCCCTTTCAAGGGAGCCCGAGTCACAGCACAGGGAGCAGCTCGAGCTTGCAGCCCATCGTTCTAAGCCTCCCCATGGCATCAGTTATCTGCCACATGTTCAACAAACAACCCTACCCCCAAAATATTCATTAATGCAGATTCACAGTTAAAATGGCTCCAGATTAAAGCCGAGTCAGTCATAATTGAGAGGGTGCTAAGCTGGATGACTATCAAAAGACATTTGATTAGGGGGCCTGCCAAAACGCAGTTCTAAAACCACAATTTCCATGCACAGTGTAATGGATATTATGGATAATTACCCAGAGTGCACTACTCAGCCACACAGCTGCCTACAATTACGTCCCAAACAGCTTCCTCCCCCGCTTCACCCTTCAAGCTCCCCACATGACAAGTCCTTACAGTTTGCTCAGAGTTGGTATCTTCCCAAGATGAACAGGGTAGGGTCCTCAGAGTTACACAAGGGGGCAGGGAGGGAGAAGGACCCCAAAACTGTGTGTCCCCTAGGTCAATGTGCATGTGTGGAGAGGAAGGGTCCTTCCTAGGTGAGGAGGAACCAGTCATGGCTTGAGGGAATGCCTGGGCCTGCAAGGTGGAGCAGGAAGTAACACTTCCTGAAGGACCTCGCTGCCCAATCAGCTGAGGGAGGCTCAAGGCCACAGTTGGCCTCTCACGTGACTCAGCTGCCTGGCATGAAAGCATTCTGGATTAATATTAGTTTCTTTATTAAGTAAGAAAGCCAGGGCCCTGTGCCGTCTGTTCATCATTTTCTTTACCACTGGTAGGAGAGCAGGAGATTAAATAACAGCTTTACGGAGGGTCATAACCAGGTTTACCTGCAGCTGGACAGCCTGTGCTTGGGCCCGAGGCAGTGGCAATAAAGTAATAAAAGCTCCTGTTTGTGAAGTGAGATAAATCAAGCAGGGCTGCCCACACAACAGACCTACTTTCAAAAAGCCTCAGTGAATGCTGGCAACATGCTTTCCTCAAGCCTCATATAAACCAGGATTGGTTATTAGGAAAGCAATGAGCAGAAAGGCCAATGTGGGCTAGATGGCTGTACTGCTACATGACTTAGTGCAAAAGAAACACTTAGAGAAACAACAGTGCCAAACTCTGGCTCAGAGGATAGACAGAGACTGTTTACATGGGAGATTTCGACATATTTCCCCATTCATGAATGATTCAAGACACCATATGCATATCTGCTTCTACAACTGCCTTCATTCTCTTACTGATCAGGATTCTCAAGTTTCCAATCCATTTCGTCTCTCTTAGTTTTCATCAATCTTAGTTTTCAGATTATGTCTTTCTTCCAAATCAAGTGCCAGGGACCTCTTGCAGTCATGCTCATGCCAACTTATCCCTTTGATGAGCTGGAGCGAGCCCTGGACTTAACACCTAAGAACACTATTCTTGCTCAAACGCTTTCCACGTGCTTTGTTTTCATTCCAATCACTGGTTTAACTTTTGACTCCTACAAACATGTTCGTAGGATCACTATGAGTTGACTCGACAGCACCGAACAACAACCAGTGCATGTAACCAAAAGAAGCATGTCAGTTTCTCAGGGCAGTTGTCTCCCTATGACCTGGATAAATGAGGAATCAAACAGAAATGAAAAACCAGTCCATTACTGTATGTGGAACCAAGAACCTAATTGGACGGTACTAGGAAACAGTTTCCATGGTTATGACCTCTTCACTGAATGTGGAACTGGTTCTGTCTAGGCTTTCCTGCTAATGGTGGTGGTGAAGGTGTGGTGTACCACCAAGTCAGAGCCAACTCTCCAGCAGGATTTCAGAGGCAGTTAATCACACAATAGCTTTGGGGAAACAGTAACGATTGGTTCCCCCCCTTTTTTTCTCTTCTTACTAATAAAACCATGGACATTTTTGTCCTCCCTTAACTTCTATGATGCCACAGAACACACTTTCAGAAATCTAATCTCCCAAGACTGACCAAGCTCACATTATTTATCCATGTTAGAGGCATCTGAGACACACAGTGTGGTAGTTGAATCTTATAAGAGCTCCCCAAAATATCATAAAGGATGTTCAGGGAGCATCCAATAAATGTTATTACATATGAGAGCAGAGTTCTAAACGCGTTTGTATCACTGGAATGTCATTTTAAAAAGATCTTCCAAGGTGGAATGCTACCCTGTCTCTAAATTTTGCAGAAGCATTACAATTCCCTCCCCACCCCCGTATTCTACACTAGAGAGAGCTCTGCCTGCCCAAATATTGCAAAATGGTCCTGATAGTAAGGGCATGGCAAAGCCATTAGACAGGCCAGAATGGGATTAAGAGAGCATGCTTCACACACAAAAGGGATATGTTAACCACTGTCACCAGAAATCATCCAAGTGCAGGACCCCATGCTCACCTCCTCGGGTTCTATCAGCTTGAACTCCATGCCTCGGCCTGTCCAGGCGATGAAGTGGGCATTGGCTGGATCATCGAGAAGGGTGACCAGGAACTGCCACAGCTGCAGGGAACCTCGCCTCTGGTAAGGGGGGCCCTCTCGATACAGGGTGGGCTCCTGTTTGACTTTGCCTGTTTGGAGCAAAGATACACATGCAGCACTTCAGCCCCATGTTTCAAGTGATTTGGGCAAAAGGGGGTTAGTTGCTAATGTCTATTCAATCATTTAACTTGCAAGACTAGCTTTCTGAGCCTTCTGGCTTAGCGACACATCTCAGAGAGGGCTTCTTACCGTCTAGTCTCTCAGGCACCACACAAGTGTCGTCGAAGTATAAGCGGGGATCTTTTTCATAGGAAAAACCTGAAGGAGGATTTAAAAAGAAAGACCATGTTGCTTAACACATTCTATCTGTGCTATGTTTAAACAATGGATTTAAGGCCTGCAATGAGTCCCTACTTTTTCAGGTCTTAAGCCTGAAATGTATCTATGCCAGACTGAACTTTCAGAGACCTCAAAAGGACTTAGGGGCTCAAGTTTTGTTGCAGTCATCTGAGCTTCAGTCTAGAGAGCATCAATTCCTGCTATTACTGTTAAGCTTTTGGGAAGCATTGAGTCACCAGTAAGTTCTTTTCCATCTTGCTTGTGAGGCCTATATTGATCTGTGTTGCTGTGACTAAGCCTTTATATCTGAAAAAAAGATCTCATTTATTTTGGTTGGCCTAGTGGATGAATGTGGCTGATCTGTACATAGTCCCATCATTTTCTTTCTAGCTAATATTAATTTCAACCTTCCCTCTAGCCTCTCCATACTACTTGCATGACTCATTCAATCATCAAAGAGCTTGAAATACAGAAGATGGTTGGAGGTGATATTATCACAGATACAGTGAAGGAATCTCATGAGACTCTAGCAACAAAATACTACTTTATCGATGACAAAACAGTGGCCAAGAAAGGGAAATGACTATCCACCAATTTGTGTGAGTGGAAACAAAAGGGAAAGCACAAAGCTAAAGGGGTCAGGAAAGGAAAACAACCCAACACCTTCAATGCACAAGCCCTCAACACACATTCGCTACTGCCCACCCACCATGTCGCCAGGCAGGCAGCCCGACACGATCAGTGGTTCAAACCAAGGCCAGTTAACAGCCTTGATGGGACAGCCTCCTTCTCTGGGGCCAGCCCATTTTGGTGATGTGGGGAATTCAGGGTTCCTCCACTGACATATTTCTCAGGCAAAAGCCTCAGGAGTGCCTCCTGATAAGCAAGGTTCTCCAGGACTCAGATCTGACTGACCCACTTCTCTATACACTACTGTTGTGCACAGGCCAGACATACAATGGGGACAGGCAGGGACAATGCTTTGCCATAAGGCGCTTTCACTAGCTTTAGAAAGGGATTTGAAGTGACTTAAATGCCTATGGGAAAGTCAGGACAAGTCATTACTATTGAGTCAGAACTGACTCAGAGCTGACCAACCCTACAACATGATTTTAGAGGCTATAAATCACACTGGAGGAGACTGCTGCTTGTTCTTCCACTGGGCAGCTAGTAGATTCGAACTGCCAGCCTTTGGGTCAGTAGAACAAGTCCTTGCCCACTAAGCCACCAAAGGCTCATCTAAGTAATCGGTTGTCCTTTCTTTCTTCACAATTGGCCCAGAACTAGCAGCTTCTTGGCAGGCCTGGCAGCACTGAGGCCTGGTACTGGGGATATACTGCTCCACTCAGAGACAGGGCTTCAAAGTGGTTCATTCTGGCTCCAAGCCCCACTGAGAATTTCCATTTCCACCCTAGATAACAACAGGACCTGGGCATCTCATGAGCAGGGTCCATTCTAAAGGGGTTTTATGTCAAATTTGTAGAGAAGCTGGAACAGGGGTATATCGTTTCTATTTAGCCTTACTTTGCAAGAAAAGGCTCAAAGCTTTTCCATTGACTTAAAAGCTGCCTAGTGGGTAAGGAGTTGTGCTCCTGGCCCAAAGGCAAGGAGTTCTAATCCACTCACTGCTCTGAGGGAGAAAGATGGTCAAATTCCTGTATGATTTACAGCCTCTGACCAGTGGGTGGAGGGTCAGCGATGGGTGGGTTCTGACGCGAAGGAAACTCACTGCATTGCATTTGCACGCAGGAAGCATCAGTGATTGTGATGAAAATTTGCTTCTAGTTCCCTAGACTCAACGATAATAATTTGTAGAATGCCTGTCCAGTAAATCAGCACCTACATCTTCCTGTTTTTTTTATTTGTTCTTTTTTTTTTATTAAATTTTATTAGTTTTAATGAACATTTACAGGGATTTTGGGTTTTCATTCTGTTCTTCTAGTGGCCTAGTGGCAAGGAGCTGCAACTACATCTTCTTTTTAAAAAGACACCCAAGTGACTTTCATAGATCTCTTCTGGTTAAATGTAGATTCTGATTCAGTGTATCTGGAATGGAAAAGCAAATTCTCACCAGACCATTCAAAGCCTTTCTTGGAGGAAATGATCATTTTGAGGGTACTCTGGTGGCTCAGTGGGTAAGAGGTTGTGATACCAACCCAAAGGCATGTGGCTGGAATCCATCATTTGCTCCTTGGAACTCTTAATGTGTGATTTATAGCCTCTGAAAACACATTGCAGCGTCAGCTATATGTTGGTTCTAACCTGGCGGCAGTGAGTTTTATTGTTCATTTGGGGTTTCTCAGCCCCAAGCACCATTTCTCACCACTGAAAGCAGTATATTTTATTGACATTACTGAATTGAATAAATCTGTGTCCCAAGCACTGTGTTAGAAGGAGTTAGGAAGGAAAACACAGACTCAACCCTTGCTCTCAGAGAACTTCCCAGTGAGGACAGATAGATAACAAACTAGGAAAAGAAACAAATGCGACCCAGTATAAGTATGGAAACGAACGGTCCTGGGGCTAGATAGTTCTAGTTGACTAGCTGTAGGGCCTTGAACCAGGTAATGAACCTAATTTGAAATTATCTTATAGGGTTTTGAAAAGAAAATAAGTTTATATAGAGAATAGCTCCGAGGATAGCTTCTGGTACAATAAATGATAGTTTAAAAGTGACAATAATTGCACAGAGTGATGGGTACTACACTTTTCATATGAAAAATGTGAGAAATCTTATCGTAGATTCTAAATTCCTTGAGGATAAGGACCACATCTTGAATATCTTAGTATATTCATAAAAAATTATAGATAAGAAATATTCTAGATATATTGGAAAAAACTCTGCGAGACGACCATATCCATTTTTTAAAAAATTTTTTTAGGACTGGAATGCTTAAAAAAAAAAAAGACAATGCTATCTGTTAATTTGGGAATTCAGTGACCCCTATGATACATATTTACTTTCCAGTTCGGTAATCAGAAATAGTTTCACTTACGTGACAAACTGGTAAACTTTATATGCTATCAGTAAGAATGAAGTCATTCACCCTGCTTCACACTTTGGCCACCGCTCCCAGAAAGCTCTATTTCCCAACCATCCTGTCTTACTTATCCAGTGCTGCTATTACAGAAATGCCCAAAGTGGGTGGTTTAAACCAGCAGTTACCCTGTTACGTTTGGGAGGTCCGAAGTCTGAAGGTTTGCTCTGGAGGCAGGCTGTTTCTGTCCGCCTGCTCTGCAGGTCTCTGCAGCTCTGGTTCTCTGGACACCTCCATGTCCTGGCATCCTCTCCCTCACCTCTGTGTCTCATTTGCCTGTTTCATCTCTATCTCAAAAAGGTCAACTTAAGACATTCTATAATCTTGTTTCATTGGCATAACAAGGACAACCCATTCCCAAATGGGACTGTAAGCAGGGCAGCTGGGGGAGAGGTTAGAATTTACAACACATTTTTTAGGGACACAGTTCAGTAACACCCCCATATGAGCTGTGATATTCTAATGGCCTTGCTTTAAAGTTATCAGTGAACTACTCCCAAAGTTTGCACCTGTCAAATGCGCCATGTTATTTTCAGTTTTCCTTCCTTTCATGTAAGGCTAACGCATTCACAGTGTGTAATCGGAGAGGGGAAAAGTAAATCTAGATGAAATTCTAGGTTTGGTTTTCAACACTAATCAGATAAAGCCATTTTGGGGTGTTCTGTGGTTCCTAGATATGGCTACATGTGGTACTCAAAAACATCTGGAAGACGCTGTTGGTTTTAGCAAAATAGAAGTCGTTTGACTTTGCGCCTGTGATTGCATCAGTTGGGGCTACAACGATCTAATCACTCAAATGAAGGTGGCAGGAAGGAAGAGCCCATTTGGGGGGCAAAGTGGAAATGAAAGATTCTCAACAGCCTGCAAGGATTCCAGGTGAGGCCTCAGAGCGGGGTGCCTGGCTTAGCAATCACAGATGCCAATCAGAAACACTTGTTTCGCTAACTGTTTGACAGGCATCTGTGGTCAAGCCGGAGCAAGGAGGATAGAAGCACCACGACAGGGTAATTTAGAGCAATTAAGACTGCTGGTCTCTTTGAATCTGACTTCTTCTGTGTGTGTGTGTGTGTGTGTGTGTGTGTGTGTGTGTGTGTGTGTGAGAAATGGGAAAGAGTGGGAAAAGAACACACAAACTCACTTGATAGTCTGTGTGTAGTAAGCAACCCAATGTCTTACTAAAAATATTTCCTTTAAGAGCATGATCTTTACTAAATGTTGTAATTATGCAAAATGCAGCCGCCCTCCCTCTCTCTCCCCCCTCCCCCTTAGTTTTCCTGCTGCAGTCATCAATCGCTTCGTGGGAACATTCAGGAACCTGGAAGAGAGCCCCACACAGCTGTGCCCATCGTAGTCAGTGGTTCAGGAGACAGCCTTTCCTTCCTAGGGGTGGACACTCAGAATGTCACCAGATGGCCAGTGTGACAAACAACACTTGGTCTCTCAACTAACCAAACCTATGGGGAGCTGACTGGAGGCTGGGATTCACCTCTGAATTTCTCTTAACTGTTCTAAAGTGTAGCCTGGATGGGAGGGCTTTTTAAATGCTCTTCAGGTGATTCTGTATGTGCAGCCCAAGTTGAGAATCACTACCCCGAGCCACAGCTCTTCAACTTGAGTTTGCATCAGACTCCCCTGAGGACTTGCAAAACAAAGACTGCTGGACTGTGCTCCTAGAATTCTAATTCAGGAGGTTTGAGGTTGACCCTGAACATCTGCATTTGCAACAAGTCAAGGCATAGTTTGAAGTGGGTGCCACTGGTTCTTGGGCATCACAGCTTTACACATAAATGGAAGGAAAATGGAATTAGTCAAGGACTTCATTTTAGTTGGAGCTCTGGTGTCCAAGTGGTAAAGGAGCTGCACTGCCAGCCCAAAGGCACACAGTTTAAATCCACAAGCTGCTCTGTGGGAGAAAGATGGGCAATCTCTTCCAGTGAGCTT